AGATCGGGAAAATAATCAATCTAAAGGTTCATGATGATTTGATTGGTTATGCACGCATAACCAAATTGAAGTCGAGCCTGATAGTTTCCAAATATCCATGTTTGACATATTATATTTTGTAGTTTCTATTTGGATTGGCCATGTTGATAACCTTTTGCCAAACTAACCTCTCTTTGCCTTATTTATATTGTGTTTTGTGCTCTGAATTTCTGTCTACTACCGCACCCCTAACAACCAATTTGAAGCGTTCTTAACTTTTCGTCGATTATTTTTTTGTTTGTCGTCTACTACCTGAACCTCTTGTCATCATTTCATCATCTTCTTCAATATCATCCAAATCAATTGGATTGGTGCTCTCCTGATCATCACCCACATCAGAAGGAATTGGAACGTTATTTAGACAATTGAAACCATGATCCAATGAAGTGGAGGGGGATTTATATGAAAAACGGTGACCGCTTCAAATAAATAAATTAATTAAATTAAAAATCTGATCACTGGGCCAAAAGAAGTCAGAGACGAATTTGCAAACAAAACAAAATAGTGGGTATGTTTGCTACTTTATCCCTTTGAGTTCAGATTATATTTGTTTTTAAAAAGAAATTCAATATATCCAATCAAGGGCCAGATTGGTAATTATTAGTGGAATAGCAAAGAAAATTTAATCGTTTATTACCAAAAAATTTCCTTAGAGCTTGTTTGGTAGGGATTTTTTGGGGGAAAAATTGATTTTGAATAGTAATATGATGGAAAATGTGTGGTTGAAAAAGAAGAAAAAAGTATTGATGTGATGGAAAATATTATTTTATTGAAGAATGTGTGGTTGAAAATGAGAATTGATTTACTGTAGAAAATGAGAATCTGTACCAAACATGAAAAATGATTGATGTGATGAAAAATATTATTTTATTGAAGAATGTGTGGTTGAAAATGAGAATTGATTTATTGTAGAAAATGAGAATCCCTACCAAACAGGCCCTTAATTCTTTCACATGTGGATTATCAATAGCAAATTTACTTCGAAAAAGCCTTAACCAATGGAAATTAGCGCATTCCAACCCATCCCCGGTGCCACTGTGAGATGGCTATTGCTCATTAATCATTGACAAAAGTTACTAACAAATGAAAATTATAAGTGTTGTATTGTGACTCAAATTCCATGTGATTTGGAAGCTTAATTCATGGAAGAAGCTTAGATAATTTTTGTTTGGAAGTATTGACAAAGGATCAAATTTCACCAAAGATTGAGAGTTTGATTGAGGAGGACTTTGGAATGAATAAGGAAACGATTGGAAAGAGAGCAAGAGGAGAGGCAGAGGGCGCTGCGGCTCTCGAGAAGCTGTTTGATAACAACGTGCCGGCAATAGCACCCTGGCATTGGGGACCAAGCAGATAACAGGAAGGATTTGTTTCCTAGTTTTTATGCTCTACTTCATCTATGACTCCAAAATTGGATTCCTATATATATTCCACGTGGTGTAGGCTCTTCAAATGCACAACTAACAATAGGATCATTGTTGTATACATTGGAAACTTAAGAGAATTGTTTAGATTTAGATTGAGAATATCAAATCTTGTAAAAACAATTTTAGTTTTTTCTATATTGAAATTCTCATCATCTTCCACATAAATTTTGTGTTCTTATGTGACCATTATTTTTCACATTGCTCTTATTTCTCACCTTTTTTAATTGGTACGATTGCTTTTGGCGGTTCTTGGGAAGTCAAAATTGATTATTAAAATGAGGTTTGAACAATATCAATCGTTTCAGAGATGACAACAATGAAATTTGAGATTATACTTCTGGATAGCAACAGTAGATTTTCTTTATGGCAGATCAATATGCGAGTAGTTCTTGCTCAATTGAATTTGGGTGATACTTTGTTGGGAGTTGATAAAATGCCCGCAACAATGACTGCGGAGAAGAAGCAACGCAATGATCGGAAAACCCTCTCACAAATATATTTTCATATTTCTAGTCAAATTTTTCACGACGTGGTAAATGAGAAAAGTGACAATGGATTGTTATTGGAATTGGAGTAACTTTGTATGACAAAGAACTTGATAAGTAATTACACTTGAAGCAATGCTTGTATTCTGATTGCTTGACAGAAGATGAATTTTTGGAAGATCATCTATCGGTGTTCAAGAACATTGTCTTTGATTTGGAGACCATAGAGGTCAAGTACGATAAAGAGGATTTAAGGTCGATATTGTTATGTTCGTTACCGCCTTCATATGTGACTTTTAGAGATACTATTCTTTATAATCAGGATACTCTTACTATTGATGATTTATATGATGCACTTTATTCTAAAGAAAAGACGAAGCATCTAGTCATCAAATCTGAGCCCCAGGCAGAGAGTTGTTATTCATGAGAGGAAGACAAGTGATCGTGGAAGGGGCAATGTCAAGGATAGAAACAGTGATAAAGTATGTTGGTATTACAACAACAGGTGGCACATAAAGAAGGATTGCTATAAGAGGCAAAACAAGAATAAGTTTGCTACTACAGATCAAAAGGGACAACCAAGAAATTTCGATGCTGCTGCCTTGGAGAAGAAGATTGAAGTGATGGAGATCTTTTGGCGATTACAGACAATAACTCCAGACCTGACGAGGATTGGTTCTTGATACGACTTGCACTTTTCATATGTGTTCTAACCGGGATTGATTTTCTTCATATGAAACATTTACAGGGGTTCTGTGGCAATGAGAAATAATGAGCCTTATAAAATAGCTGGTATTAGTAAAATTAGAATCAAGATGTTTGATGGGACGGTCACGACACTTGGTTTAGTGAGACATATTCCAAGTTTAAACAAAAATATTATCTCCTCGAGTATTTTTGATTCAAAAGGGTACAAGTATAACGATAGAGATGAAGTTCTGAAAGTTAGCAACTGTGACACGATTGTGTTAAAAGGGCGGAGAAGTCATGATTCTATGTTTTGGAAGGTTCGACGGTTACTGTAGAAGCAGCTGCAACTTATGATTTGATAAGCAGTAACATAGAATTGGTTGTGATTGGGTTGTTTGTTATGATTCGAGCATGTTTGGTGACTCTGCTGGAGATGGTAGTAAATTGGATGATTCAAGTAGGTTTAGCGTGCAAAGTAGTTCAGCTGGTAAGCACGGCTTGAATTTCGTACACAGTTGCTTAGTATACCCGGAAAGGGCATGGGGTCCCCGAAAGGGGTATGGTAGAAGAAATGGAAAATGACTTAAATAGTAAATACTTAATTCCTTGCTATGAAATTTGCGTCAAGGTGGAGTTGTTTATGTTGTGACTCAAATTTCATGTGATTTGGAAGTTTGATTCATGGAAGAAGCTTGGATATTTTGATTTGGAAGTCTGAATTGATAAGGGATCAAATTTCATCAAGGACTGAGAATTTGATTGGAAAAATGACTTCGAAATGGATAAAAAGGTGTTTTAGAAGTATTGCGATGGAGACGGGGAGCCGGGTGCCAGTAGCAAATAAACGGACCTGCCCACCAATGTCGGGACGTCGGGTGCATCTTATTCTTCCTTTGTTGGAAACATTGTGTTTATGTAAACTCTATATTGAAACATTTCATTTATGCTTTAAGAGAAGAATCTAATTTATCTGTCTAAAGTTTGTCTGTGAAGCATATTTTAATTGGTAGACTTTCAAAATTTTAACACATACAATTTTAAAAAATAAATACCATCTAAACTTGAATTTATTATCTTTTACTACAAAAAGTTAGGGGTGGTGAAAATGGTGAGTTCTTGGTTGGTAGTAACTTTGGGGTTGAGTAAGACTAT